TATATATATATATATATATATATATATATACATCAAAATCATGACAACAATGCATTGATCAACCAAAGTGTGTAACCAAGAAGAAATTAATGGTGAAAAAAGGTTTAATCTTTACCTTTTTGAGAGTCAAAGCAAGGGATTTGGCAGTGAATTTCTCCAAGCTATCATATGTCTTTCTTGTTACATCCACAACAAGAAGTTGCATGAATAGAGGCATATAAGCAGATATCACTTTGACACCATCAAGATCTAAGAAATTAGTCAGTTCAACCTGTGAGCTACACCCAAATGACCTTCTACCATTGTGCATTCCAATTGACGATGAAGATTGCTTTTTTACCTTATACCCTTGTGGTAGTTTCCTCACCTCACCACCATCACCATCATTTTCTTGATTACCAGACATTAAATTAATACACCTTTTAAGATTCTTGGTGGTTTTCTTTGCTACTAATTGCAATGATTTTCTTGATTCTCTCTTCTAGTTCGTGTGGATCTTCCTTAATATAACGGGGATTTCCTATGTTTCTTTTACTCTATGACTTGGTCAAGGATACGATGGTGGAAACTTGGGAAACAACCATAGATTGAGGTTGGAGATGGGTGGCAATGAGCGGAAGAGGGTGAGTTAAGGGGTTTACAAAGGATTAAGCTTTGTGATTGAGGTATAATCTTAAGAAGTGAGTGGATATGTCTTGGATGGTAGAGGAGGTAGTGGTTGGAGTCGATAGGTTCAACCGGTGGGTGGCATTGTACGACATCATCGTAGTGGTGGTTGTGACTACTTTTAGGACTTTCTTGAGAATGGGTTTGGAGGGGTAGGGTAAAGCATGTTTTATGGGGGGAATGGTGTTTGGTCATTGTCTCATATGACAAGCGCACGTAAAAATCGATATCATCACTTGTTCTTAAATATGAATCAAAATAATTGTCCAAAAACAATAAACCTCTTATTTTTGAGCAAAATGTTGAGTACCGACAATCTCAATCAGTCTTGTACGACACCCAACCCTCAAAGAATCTAGTATGAGTAGACTATCTAAGATTCCTTCGACGGCGAGGTGTATGAGAGGACGTCCAGACTCAGACCTGAGACCAACAGGTTTTTAAGCAAACATCTTCTCGTCTCTTGAGTCAATCGAGCTACATGTTAGGAGCAACAATACACCCTTTATGACATGCTCCATCGTATAACAATGTCGATTAATTCTTTTATTATAAAAATATATGATTTGATTTGTTACAAGAGTTTTTTGGCAGTTTCAGAATCATTTGGTGCAAAATATTTAAAGGGATCTTCATGATTTAGTATAAGATAACAAAAATGATTGTTTGAAAACTATTCTCAATCAGTAGTTTGAATGATATAAAATTACCATTTTATCTCCGTATGTGTCAAATGAAAAATAATGTTTTACAAAAGTTTTAGATGAAATTTCATAACCAAAGTTAGAAAATAATAATGGTCCAAAAGATTATATGATATCATACCAACCAATTATAATCGATATGTAAAATCATACATTATGTACCAACCATCTATACTCACAAATGTTTTGAACCAAACAATTAGCTTTCATATATATATAACTTTGTTCATATAAATTATATATATATATATATATATGTATATATATATATATATATGTGTGTATGTGAGTGAGAGATTGTATATCACATTGCAAATATACTTTACAAACACCACAATCCTCTTTAACTTTACATTAATAAAGAATGGTCAAGTTGATTATTGAAGTCCCAATGGTTAAAACCAACTCTTCTTGTTCACATATCACAAACATTCATCAAGCCTACATGCTACAAGTAATAGAATAACAAAACGACAACCAAGATAATAACGACCTCTTGAGTCACGATTCAACGAATGCGATTTTACCTAACCATCTCTTCGTACAAAGGTTTATCTACAACCAAGATAATAACGACCTCTAAAGCACAACTTTTTTTGACTGTTT